GCTTTGGGCATGTTTTTTTATGAGAGTATAACATTATAACATGATATAAAACTCAAAAAAGTTGATTTTACATGATATTGCCCCTTTAAATCAGACATTTCAACCTTTTTTTTTCCCTGGGAATCCAAAATCTTGCTCTGAGGGAAAAGCTGTGCTGTCCTCTGTACATGTGAAGTCTTGTGCACAACAACAAATTAATAACTTGCTAATTTATCATATTTTAAATCAATAATATACTTCAGATAACTTGTTTTTGAACAGTCCATTATGCTGTGGGGCAACGTTCAGCAGAAGTGACTAGGAGGTTGGTCAGGGTTAAGAGAAAGCTGAATAGAGCACAGGAACCTGAAAAAAACTGCTGGGTTCAGGATCTTAGACTGGGCTGAAGGTCCTCTTTAACATGACAATGAGCCAAAACACAGCAAAGACAACACGCGTATTCATCATTCATGCGTATGCACGGTTTCATGCATATACCGTTAGATTTTTTTTGTACATACGCTGTTTTCTCGATTTAAGCATATGCCATGTTTCAGAAGGAAGTCAACACAAGTCTTTGAACGTGTGGCCCCAGAGCTGTGGGGGTCTTTTTTATTCACCTTTATTTATTTACTGTAATTTATTTACCATTATTTAGGCTCAGGTATGAAGAAGTTGCTGTCTATCATTAGTAGATCTTTTTTCATTGCACCCTTATGTTGTTTGGACAGCTCACTGTTTTCTCTCTGTGCTGTTTTGGTGTTGGCTTCCAGGCTCCTCCTCCAAGCAACTTATGAGTTGCACCCTTGATAGAGCTGCACTGACATTTTGTGGCAGACTTTCAAAAGGTACTTTATCGTTTAGCCTTGGAAAGGAGTACAAATCACAGGTGTTTAACGTGGTCATAATTTCAGACTTATGTCAGCTTTGTATCCAGTTCAGGGGCTTGGTGCCCATGCTCACATGGCGGGGGTGATGATGTGTCCCCCTTGCTGTAGTGTCTTTGTTGGACCTCATTAATCTCGAGGCGTGGAAGCAGATTCCATGTGCAAATGTTGGAACACTGGATTTAAAATTCTTTGTCAGTCTTGACATTGGGTTTTGAAGTATTTATAGTGTTGTTCTCATATATTGTATAGTGCTTTTGTTGGGCTTGATCATATAGTTGCATTCCAATAATGTTAGGTTTAAAAGTTTTGTTTTTAGCTGTTTTATGCTCTGAAGCTAATCTCTAAACCAAAACAAGAAAACAAATGACATCCATTTGTCAAAGACTGTAAGTGTGTACCTCCTTGGCCCTGAGTCTCTCGTTGTCCATGTTGACATCGAGCAGAGGACGCACTTTGCAGAAAAGCTTCCACCAGCTCCACGTGGCTACGGCCCGTAGAGCTCGCAGATTCCTCTGCAGACAACTGACCGCCATCTGCTGCACCTGGAGACACACACGAGGAAAGTCAAAACTACAGCTGAGCTACCAAACTGTGTTCACAAGAAATGTATCACAAAATAAAAATGTATTTTTTTATTCAAACCTTTATTTCACCAAGCAAACCATTCAGAACAATTTCTTATTTACATTAGCCTGAAAGCGCAAAAACACTTAATGGGAGGATGGGGAATAACATGTATTAAGAAATATGTTTATTCTGTAAAATAGTTACACGACTCCTCAAAAAAGACCTTTAGTCTTTGTTTAAAAGCAGGAAAAAAAGTCAAATTTGCTTGTATATCCAGTGATTTGTACTGGTGTTCAGACCATTTACATCACTATGACCCCCGCACGCGAAGCGCAAGTGGGAGTCATATTGTTTTTGTACTTTTTTTTCAGTGATTTTTGGTCAACCGTACCACAAAAACGGCTGCACCGGTCAACATGAAATTTGG